AGCTGATGATGTAGAAGCTGATGGTGTATAAGCTGATGGTGTAGAAGGTGATGGTGAATAAAGGTGATGATGTAGAAGCTGATGATGTAGAAGCTGATGGTGTATAAGCTGATGGTGTAGAAGGTGATGGTGTATAAGCTGATGGTGTAGATGCTGATGGTGTAGAAGGTGATGGTGAACAAAGGTGATGGTGTAGAAGCTGATGGTGTAGATGCTGATGGTGTATAAGCTGATGGTGTAGAAGATGATGGTGTAGAACATGATGGTGTAGAAGCTGAGGGTGTAGAAGGTGATGGTGTAGAAGCTGATGGTGTAGAAGGTGATGGTGTAGAAGATGATGGTGTAGAAAATGATGGTGTAGAAGATGATGGTGTAGAAGCTGAGGGTGTAGAAGCTGATGGTGTAGAAAATGATGGTGTAGAAGATGATGGTGTATAAACTGAGGGTGTAGAAGCTGATGGTGTAGAAGCTGATGGTGTAGAAGCTGATGGTGTAGAAGATGATGGTGTAGAAACTGATGGTGTAGAAGCTGAGGGTGTAGAAGATGATGGTGTAGAAGCTGATGGTGTAGAAGATGATGGTGTAGAAGCTGATGGTGTAGAAGATGATGGTGTATAAGATGATGGTGGATAAAGGTGTATGAAGGTGGGTGAAGCTCTCTGCAGCTCAGTGTTTATCTCAGCAGAAGTTAATCAGAAACATGAACCCTGCTCTCCCACTCAGCTCTGACTGAATGAAGAACAGAACAATCCCTCTTTGTTCTTTGTTCTCTGCATGTTTTTAACATGTTCTCTGAGACTCACCATCAGCTGCTTGGTTCTCTCACAGCCCGTGTTCTGATCCGATGTTAGTGATGGATTCAGATGATCCCTGATGAAGAATGTTCCTGTTTTATTTAGTTTTTTGTTGACTTCAGAAATCTTTTCTAAAGTCAATAAATAGTTGAGGCACCATGTGAATGTTAGAAATGAAAGACTGATTCTGATGGTTCTGCTCATCATGTTCTGATGGTTCTGCTCCACATGTTCTGATGGTTCTGCTCCACATGTTCTGATGGTTCTGCTCCACATGTTCTGATGGTTCTGCTCCACATGTTCTGATGGTTCT